GTCGTTGGTAATTCTACCTCGGGATGGGCAAAGGCGGAAAGTGATGTCCCATAGTGTTCTGTCTTATGCCCAGTAATCTTCCTGATTTATGTTAATGACTGCATCAGCGAAGTGAATTGCGAGGCCCTAATGTTCGCGGATGACATAAAAATATGGAGTGAAGTCAAATGCGACAAGGACGCAAAGAAATTGCAGTCGAATATTGACCAACTGTGTGTTTGGTCGAACAGATGGCTATTGAAGTTTAACGTGCCCAAATGCGCGGTCTTGCACCTGAACACCGGTCGCAATGCCTCTCCCAAACACCAGTACTATATTGACGGGACGAGGTTAGAAACTGTAGAAAGACACAGATATCTGGGTGTGTGGACGATCACGCACTTATCGCCATCAGAACACTGTAGAAAGATGGTTCAGAAGGCAACTAGTACTCTACACTGGATTAGACGTGCATTTAAAATATTTCCTCCCGAACTCTTCGGAGGACTTTTTGGCGCCTTTGTAAGGCCCCATCTGGAGTATGGAACACCTGCAGCTTCATTACGGATGAGGAAGGATATCGACTTACTCGAACAGGTGCAACACAGAGTAACGCAGATGGTGGACAGTTTAAAGCATTTGTCTTACCAGGAGAGTCTGAATGTGCTTGGCATATTTACCCTCTCTTATAGACAACTAAACTGAAGTCTACTCTGGACATTCCGGATTGTAAGCGGCCAAGGTTGCTCATTAACAATCGAGGACTTCTTTTGGTTTGTCCATACAAACCAATTACGCGGCAATACCTGCAAAGTCGTGAATGAACGCACGCGCTTAGATCGTCGAAAATTTTCATTCAGCTAGCGGGTCGTCCGACCGTGGAACTCGCCTCCAAGTAAGGCCACCGAGTTAAACCATTTAAGACAAAATAAAACTGAGGCAGCAGTTCGACAACGGTTTTGGTGGTCACATCTACGCGGACAGGTGTATCCAAAAGGGTAGCTGTTAGAAACAGTTAACTGTTGCTACTCTGATGGCAAAATATCCACAGATAAGCTCGCCGCGGCCTTCTTGTCCGTTAATAAAAGGCACGTACATTCACACTTCGCTTTTCTACCTCCCGCCTTATTATTCTTTCCTCGCATAAACACAACTGCCTGCTGTTAAAGAGCAATTGACCAGAAAAACTGACAACCGTCAACTAACTGACAGCAGCATTTATCCAAATCGGAGATAATTTCAATGACGACCCATGTCGAAGTTCTTAAAGCTCAACGAAAGGCAATATATTCATGACCAAGAAACAACCAAACTTCTCTTCATTGTAGATATCGTTCTTTTTTCCAACTTTTGTTATTTTTTTGCTTTGAAACTCAGGGTTTTTAACTTTAAACAAACTCACCGTTCGCGCTCTATTGACTAAGCAAACACCCTAAGCAAAGCAAGTCAAAGTACAGCTTAAACGTATGAGTTTGGTTTAGATTTTTCCCGTGTTCACAGGAGACTGACAGTGTCCAAGAGATGCAATAAGCTTATTCTATTTTATTCACCCTGCTGAGGGTTGTATGGTGGACATTGTCGAAATCGATGGTCGATATGACTGGACACAGTCAACACCAGCTCTGGCTTTGCCAAACTGCTGTTGCTGCCTGAGAGGACAACTGAATTGTCTGTATACAATAAACACCTCATTCCGGTGACTCCTTTCTTCTTGCAAGTTGAGATTTGGCGTGATTACTGTAGCCCTCAGAGTGCACACTCTCACTGCTTAGACGTTACAATCCAGCTTATTTGGTATCTAGCCCCCCTCTGTTGTATTGGTGAAATCCAGGTCCATCGTGCGCGAGTCAGGCATGTGTGGCACGCCCAATCTGGCTATTTAGCCTAGTTAGCCATTGCGTCCCATCCCACTCGTGGTCTTCTTAGCCCTGTCTTGACATTTGGCTCAGGTGGGTAAAGGAAAAGAGGTTGTAATAGATACAGCGCACGTTTGTCATCACTATGTACAAATTCAAGCGTAGGTTGTTGTCTCTGCGCCCAGAATGCTGTGGGAAAACGATAGGCATCGTCGGTAACGACGACCAAATTGTCATAATAATGTTAATAGACTGATTGAACGCTCGTTACTTGGTGGCGCCAAAGATTACGATGACGCAGTAACAGATGAAGTGAAACAGGTAGTGAAAAACTCCCTAGATGACTTGTAAAATAAAGAATAAAAGAATGGGCATTTGTCAGAATTAAGTCTGAGTTTTCAGCCGAACAGGTTATGCATGCAAGTCCTAACATTATATTCCAAAGGGTCTTTTTTAAAATTCAGAATTTAAGTGTTCACGAACGAAACCGGCAACAAGTGCTTCATACATTACGTAACATCAAATTTGGATATCGATAATCAAGTTGGTTAGTTCAAGTGAACGATTCTTCCAAAGGAAAGCATATCTAAAAGCGAAAACTCGAGAACTTAGGCATGCAAAAAGAGGCCTCCACCTAAAATTAGGTTAAGCATGCTTGATCCTCGAGTGGAAAAATTGTCAGCATTATTCCACACACCGACATCCATGGTCTTTACCAGTCTGGGGTCGGAAGGTGGAAGCCAGCAGACTTCAGGAAGATTGAAGTTGTCCACAACTAATTGAAGCTAAAATTCAAACCGGTCTAGACAGAGCGTTCTATCGTTCAAGGATTTCGTAACCAAAACTTCACGAGTCATGGTTTCTGTAAGCCTTGTGCTGTCGGCGTTCATCAGCATACATAACAAATTGGGTCGTTTGGAACAGACACTGAAAGCTATCCAACAGCGGCTCTATTGGTCCCACATCCAAGAGGAAGTAACCACTTAATGTAATATTTACACCGCATGCACTGGCTGAAAAATGTCACGTCGTTAGATGTGCGCACCGCTACAACCTCAGTATCATTTATATAAATAAATTTATAAATAAATTTTTAATTTAATGCCAGTTTACAGGCATTGTCAAGGGAAGCGATTAAAGACAAATCCGACCGGCAGTGAAAAAAAAACTCCTGAGCTTAAGGCATAAAAATATAGTTGATGGTGGTTTTTGTGGTTTGGAGGGCTCAGGAGAAAAAAACTGTCGGCGGTGGTAGAATATCGGCCGTCAAGAAGGGGGGAGGTTGCACGGTATCGGAGATTATCGGACGTCAAATTCCTTTCATGAAGTTGGGGATAGTCAAAGTAGAGGCGTCGAGGAACAGCTGGTGAGACCGGCCATAGTGTTCAGAGACCACAAACGCCATCGCTACGGTACAGTCGATCAGTAGATTCAGCACCCAAAATTTGTGGGAGCTTTGCTGAACGCCAATCACGACACCCAGACAAGGAGATATACAAGTAATGATTGACTTATTTACAGAGTACACAGGAACGGTGCCACTGTTACTGTAGGACTCTGCGTCAGTGCCAGCTGCAAAAATCAATGATTTGATATATCACTTCGGGGTGCCATCGTTGATCCATAGAAATAGTGGGACCAACATCGACAGTAAACTGGTACGGAATGTGTGCTACCTCCTAGATGCCTGCTATACACGTACGACAACGACGCACCAGGAAGGAAACAGACACGTTGAAAGGGAGTTCAAAGGTTCAACACCTATATTTCCCTCAAAAAACTGAACTGAACCAACCATACCTTTAACGGATTCTTGAGGGCGTTCGCGGACGACAATCACCCACGTGCGAGTCAAAGGGTTGTCCTGGGCAATTATGGCACATACTCTCACCGGCCACGCCACCATCTTTATGTTGATCGGATGCCTTTCTGTCCCGGGGACTGACTACGTTGCTACCTTCCTCAAGTGTCCACTCACCGAATGGCCACGTGTGGCAATTACAGGAATTTATACGATCGAATCATAACATGGCGCACTTACCTAGGATCAGACGTTGAACAACAAACAGCGTACTTTAATTGACAAAGTCACGGCACCGCCTATCGACCTGAGGACCTCGGGTGGTACTTTCAACCGGTACTTCGTCTGGGGAGCCGACCAATTCTTTCATCTTTGCGAAGGACCATATGCGGTCGTCGACGTCACGTAACTTGCCACGTGCGTACCAAAAGTGTCTCATTTTCGAACATCCTGACATTAACCACATATCTCGACACAGTTAAAAGTTCACGGGGACGTTTGTCCACGGCCGAAACCACCGCCAACACAACACCCATTATTCCCTTGCACTTCGCCCACTGACCATTTAGAGAAGAGGCCATAGTGGCTACACTCCACGAAGACTCTGCGCATAGGACTCCACCTGAAGAGGGGATAATTAGTAGCCGGCACGACTGTTTTTGCTTGAATCGAAGACAACAAAAGGTCCGGAAGGAGAGGTTGACAGTTTCATTTCCTCTTCCTGTCTTTGTAGTTGAAAGCAATCCATTTCTACTCGGGCAGTCGAACGCGTAGATAGTTCACGCTCGAAGTCCCATTAACTAATTAGCAAACACCAGCGTCGACTGACTGATTGACAGTCAATCGCCTTATTGTTGGATTTTTCCACTGTGGCCTGTTGTATAGTATACAGTTACTGCCACATGCTCTCATAATCGAACATACACGGACATCCTTTGGATTGTCGTGTGATCTACAACAGAAGATAAGCCATAAAAGCTTTCTTCAGAAGAAGAGGAATGATCGCCTTCCGACTCTAAATTCAATGAGATTGCAACCACAGAGTCGCGGACGGTCGACTGTTCTAGGCACGTTGATAGCTCGCCAACACTGATGCAACCACGAATGATTGCCTTATCACGTTTCTAAGAATACGGAATAGCCATTAGTTCTGAATTAAGTATATTTGCTTTGGTCCAGGATGCTGGCTACATGCAGCCTACTTAGTATTCTTACTAAGCTTTTAGGAAACGACAACGAGATATTCAGTCGACTGAGTATACCTGTCATCACAAATGTGGACACGAACCAGAGGCGTAAAATACCCTTGTTTAACTCTGCAAGGCCGGGGAGCATGGGTTTAGTCGCGTGGATGCGCCCGACGCATGTTGCTGCTGTTCGAGACCGCCGGTGGTTACGCCGTTTTCAAGGTACGGGATGAGAAACGCCTCGAGGAGATTCAAGACTTGGCAAAAGAATTCGAAAACACGGATTTCATGAACCAGACGTATGATGACAGGTTAACTGTATGATACTTTTAGGGTTCAGTTGGAGAAGTTCGTCAAGTTCGAAGACACCAAGGAGGCCCTTCTGGGTGAGTTAAAATGATGAGATTACGGACTAGAGTCTCTGCAGCTGCTGTGGTTGATAACCTACCGTACTGAGATCTTTATAATCAAGCTCCCTCGACGACTTGATGGTGTCCAACGCCTTGTTTTATTTTAGCTGCTACTGACACCATCGAGGGGAGAATCTCAAAGAAGCTCAAACGGCTGCTAAAGAAGTTGTACGTCAAGGAGATCCACGATGACGTCTTAGCCGTCGCCGACAAGAAACTGTCACAGGAAATAAATGCGAAGATGAACGTCACGACTATCTCGAATTCCTCTGTCCAGAATCTGATGCGCGCTATTCGCACGCATATGTCGAGCCTTATTCCGAGCATAGAGGAGCCGGACATCATGCGTATGCGTCTAGGCCTAGCACACAGCCTGGACCGTTACAAATTAAAGTGTAATCCCGACAAGATAGACACAATGATTGTTCAGGCAATCGGTTTGTTGGACGAACTGGATAAAGAATCAAACAACTACGTGATGAGGTGTAAGGAAATGTACGGCTGGCACTTCCCCGAGTTATCGAAGATCGTCACGGAGAACATGGCGTACATTCAAGTCGTGAGACGCATCGGCGTCCGTGAGAATGCGGCAAAGATGGATTTGACGGATATTATTCCGGAGGAACTAGTAGCCCAGGTAAAAGATGCAGCGATAGTATCTTTGGGGACCGAACTGACCCCTGAGGACGTCGAAATGATCCATTCACTGTGCGATCAGGTGGTAGACGTTGCTGAATCTCGCAATACACTTCACGAGTACTTGGTGAAGAGAATGGTTGCGGTTGCTCCGAACTTGACTGCTCTCGTGGGCGAGATACTCGGCGCGCGCCTTATTGCAAGGGCCGGAACACTCATAAACCTGGCTAAACATCCGTCCTCGACGGTCCAGATCCTTGGCGCGGAGAAAGCCCTGTTCCGTGCGTTGAAGACGCGTCACAATACACCAAAATACGGGGTGCTTTACCACGCCAGTCTTGTGGGCCAAGCTGCATCTGGTATAAAGGGGAAGATCTCTCGAATGCTGGCAGCTAAGGCTTCGCTATCGATCCGACTGGACGCTCTTGGTGATGAGGATGCTGATAATGAAATGGGAATTCGGGCCAGGGCCTACCTGGAGGAGCGTCTAAGACAACTGGAGGCAGGAACGGTAAGACTATTGTGTTTCCTAACATTCTTTTAGTTTAATCCTCGCATTTCGAAAAAGAGGTCGTTCCCCCGAGGTGCATCTGAAGGTCCTCCGGCCAAAGTAAAACGAAAGTCGGAGGACGGGATTTGATGCCACTTGTTCCACTGTATATAGGCCTGTACATAAAGACACATTTTCGCATGCCACTAGATTGATTTTTTGCAGTATTTCTGCTCTTCGGGGTCTGATGGCTTTCGGCCAGTACTTCAGTGGCCAATTTTCCTCTGGGGCGGGGGGTCTGCTGCTGACCGTTACTTTTGAGTTGAGTCGGCTGTGCTTCGGACTACATGCAGGGCGGTACCATGTCTGCGTTTCGCTAGTTTGTGTTTACTGGACCATATCCAGCGCCATGAAGTGGGATGGGACGCGTCGTTTTACCTGAGGGGAGGGGGTACTTACGAACAGTTTAATTAGATTTGACTGACCCTCGGAAAGGCTTCGCCGCGTAACGGTATTACAATCTCGGCGGGGGCCAGGGTTCCTTTGGCCAGCTGGGGAAGCGTGCGTGCTCTGTGACTGCGGAGGGGCTGGGGAGACTTGCTTCCGTAGTTCGGTGCCCATGATGTCCGTGAAGCTATTAACGCCTTGACAGTACCCGGGCTGGCTGCAGTGGCATAGCTCACGTGGAGTTTGACCGAACATAAGGGACTGGCTGGGTGTCTGCCTGTGCGGTCGCTCATCTGCAAAAGGCGAGAGGTGGCGAATGGCCTCTACTTCAGAGCTTGGGTGTGACAACCTACCCAACTAACGAGGTAATTATTGGGTCTCGAACAAGATGCCCCCTTGCGAAGCCTACCCGTTTTAGGGGGTGAATGCCATAACACGCCAATAACAGTAATAATGACATCCGCAAGTCCTGTGTTAAAAGAAGAAAAGCCATTCATCGGGAGGGGAAAAGGCCCTAATAGGGCTAGAGGGGACACCAAAATAGTTATTCTGCCCGCCATTAAAGGTAAGTTGAATGATGTCCTAGACAGTCTAGACTATCGGAACGAAGCTGTTATGTCTCGCCGTCGCAAGTTCGAGACCACTACTGGCGCAGGTTGGCAAGATTCTGACTCGGCTAAGGGGCAAGGTCATTACCGTCGAAGGCTGGTATATGGCGAAGCCCGCAGGAGCAGCTGTAGGACGATCCCACAGTCCCCCCAAAAATACACAAACCAGATGCTATCCGAACAGCCGTCTCACACACCGAGGCACACCCGCATACGGGCTTGTAAACTAGCTGTTCGAGAAGTTAAGGTTCCTGAGGGGGCGGGGGGGCTAATAGACGGCAATGCACTCAACAGGACAATTTTCCGAAAAATAAAGGTTATCACAAGGGGATTGAACGAGAGATTGGTGCAGTGTGACGTCACCTCACCCCACGTCCTTGCTGATGACCCTCGCGGCCGAAACGCCAAGTGACCTGCTACGTTGAAATTACGTTGAGGACTATGGCCGGCCGACACCTCAGGATCTCATAGAGCTCATTCGACACTGCCTCAAAACATTCCTTGTCTTCGAATAGATCACATAGGAGCAAATCAGGAACACCCACATGTGTTCATCAGTCTCCGGGTTGACTGTTGAGGCGGTTCTGCAAAAACTCAAAAGACAACAGTTCGAGGGGCACATACCCAAGTTCCGGGTGCCCTACGCTGACGATACCGTCGTATTCATCGACCGAGATAAAGTTAAATACTCCGGGAACAAATGTACTCGATCATTCGCGACTTAGAGTTCGCAACGGAGGAAGATGTGAAGGAAACACTTGCATTCTTGAGTGTCCTTGTCTGCCACCGACTGGATGGCAAACCGCGAACGTCGGCATAAAAAACCAGCGAACGTGCTGCAAATACTCAGTTATATCAGCAAACACCGAATACAACACAGAAGAAGCTGTGTACGCTCGCCATTTTGGCGGGGGAAACTCATTGCAGCATGCTGGCCGGCAAACTAAATGAGATGAAGATCCACCAAGAACTCTTCAGAACCAACGGTTAACCGTGAGCTTTCATTGAACAGACCCGAATGCAACAAAGAAAGCGGAATGAAGAGTATGGTCAGCCAAAATCGTGGCGGAGCATTCCGTACATGAGGGGAGACTACTAAGTCGTGGCTAGATCCCCCGGGCTACTCGGGATAGGAGTTGCTCACTGGTCTGACTTAATAAGCCGCCGGCAAATGATGCGGCCATGAGACTATCCCTAAACATGAGGTTCGGCCGTTGCCTACAGACTTCAGTGCAGCAGCAGGATGCGAAGCTAGGTTGGGGGAACCAGCCGACGGCTGCAAACGCGGATGCGGGAACATCGGTTGGTCGTGCGAAGGTTGGACCCACAGTAGGGAGTAGCGACCCATACCGCACAAGTGGGGCACATCTTCGACTTTGACGCCGTTGGGATGGTGGACCGAGGCGCTGATCACACCGGGCAGATGGGAGAAGCCTGTATGTCCACAGACTGTTCTGTCAACTCAACCTTGTCTGCTTTTACGGACCTTGACGGGGGACAGTCACGGCGCGAAACAGTCGCGGCCGCCAACTGTTTCCGCGGTCAACGAGGGCGGATGCGACTTAGGTCACGAGTCGGATGCAACCACACGGGCGGCATTGCCGGGGTACACAGCAAGCAAATTGCGTCACGTAATGGGAGCTGTGCGCACGACTTTCTAGTTTCTGAAGATGATTAGGCGAAATAAATACTAGAAGTGTCAGACATCCAATAAACATCTCCCGGCGAACGCCTCCTCCTCTTTTTGACGCAGCGTGTTCCTTCTAGCATTGAAGCGGACCTACTGCATGCAAGCTGCTCAACATCACCTTAAGACGTTGGATATGCAAGCGGCAGGCGGTACACACATACACATCACCCTTAACTACAAGACCAGCTACCCAGTGACCCACAAAAGGAGCTGTGTTCGAACCCTTTCCCACCAGGCCTATCGTTACTGCGGTAGCAATAATTTACTCAAGATCTGGCTTGTATCCGTCCTTCCGTCTAAGAGATACCCAGTCGGCTTTGCAAAGAACTGTTTCAGACGTCAGAGGCAAACACAAAGCACTGACCCTAACGGAAACAGGGTTCACGGAAGCTCTACTCCCTGCCGTACACGCCAAGAACTTTCGGAGAGACCTCCCGACATCTCCACCGTCTACAAACTAGCGTCCTCCATGCGCACAGCACTATCCCGAGTAAAGGACCCCATGCCGAATGAGCAGCAAACACATGTCATCTACCGCATTTCATGTGCTAACTGTTCTTGCGTTTGCGTTGGGCATACCGGCCAACGACTCGGAACCCGCACTAACCCACATAGACTGGCCCTTCGCCGAAGGGAATCCTTGTCTCTCGTGTCTGCGCACACCATTGAGAGTGACCACCGCCTCTGTTGGGATGAGACTGCTAACACCAAGCAGACCCGAGAATTTTTCGAAACTGGGCACAACGACGACAACAGTTTCGACCGCCATGTGGACCTGGACGCTTACTGCGAAGGTTTGTGTTCACAGCTCACCGACTTGCGTCCACCCCAAAACACCAGCTGCTAGCCAATGTTCGGCCATGTAGAATATCACAGACACCCCACCTCTCCGAAACAGTGAACCATATCTAAAGCCATCAACACCTCCCCAACTTTCAGCGCGTCTCTAAACACGCTATTTATCCCCTCACATGGACGCCTGTTCTGTCGATGAAACCTCGATGTCCCTCAGCGCTCTAGTGCGACTATCCCACTCTCCATTATTCATTTCGTCTGACGACGAGTTGGTGTAACCAGCTTGGGAATTCGCGAGCATAACTCGATTTTCAGACAAGCCTTCTTTTATTATATAATCTCGGAATGCATACTACCTCCGTCATTCAATATATTCAGCTATTCCCAATGGGAGATTCCCAATGAAGGAAACAAATCTGGCGGAATGAAGCGAAGCTTTATGGTATGGAAGTCGTCGAGTTTTACAAGCGGGCCAGTTTAGTTCCGGTCTTGGGGCCGACGTATAGGCATTAAAAAAAGGGGAAATGCACATATGACTATGGCAAAGATGAAAAGCGGGACAGACTGCATTTGCAGCTGGCAAATCTAAGCAAAATTAACAAAAGGTGTGTATGATCAGGTGTTGAAGGCCGTTGTGCTCAAGCCAGATCGTTGACCGTCGTCGACAGGCCCTTGCCGGTAAAGGTTGTCTTGAACTGTTCAGGGACTGCATATTCAGCCTTGGGATGAAAAAAGAAATAAATGAAAACACGGAAATGCGAAATTGTAAGCTGCACGGCTGATATCCAGTTTTGACTCACAAAGTCGCCATCACCAGTGGGTACGAGGATATTCATTTCAGATGACTTAGCTGTGATAATTTCAGCACTCTTAGATTCCTCGCTCAGGTAGACTTGACATCCGTCAGTTTTGTCAATGTTTATTGTCGGCATCAAACCCGTTACCTAAGGATTTATCAAAACAGAACAATACAAGGATTTAGAACGTTAGAAAACCAGAAATCCAAACAAAATCTAAAGCTTTCATACCTTAGAAGGTCGTGGCTTATCTAAGAGAACTGTGCAGCCTTTTATTTGTGCAAGTGACTTATCTTCAAAAATAAACGCTTATGACAGATGGGCGCTCACCGATCAGGTTACAGAACATGCTCGTTCTGTTGTGCCTTGAAGCTCATACTTAAACCCTCACAGGCAGTCGCACAGAGACTAGTGATATATGTTGATAAGGTGATCCCGGGTTCGAATCTCAAGTGATCCACACTTGGGGTTGGGTATGACTGGCTGATGACGGCTAATAAGCCAGAAATGGCCATTCCGGTCTCTCTTGTCTTTGTCGGTATCACCTTATCAACATAAACGGCTTCTTTGGGACTCATAATTAAGTGTTTCCCACTGGAGAACAAACGTGATGGATCGGTTTAAATCCGAATACGACCTCGGCCATCGCGTTTCCAGCACAATTACGAGAATTAGACCACACCATTTAGCTTTCAACAGAGTGACCATATATGACTGGGGCGACAC